TTTACTTAAGAGCACTTGCTTGGTTTACTTAGTAAAATTTTGAAGAAATTTGGTTTTGTTGTAAAAAATTTTGGGAAGATTTGGTACAAAAGATCTACAGATTAAGTGTGTTCCTTTATATTCTCAAATGACAAATATTTTTTTTAATTTTAGTCATGTAAAATATTCAATTCTATTAAATAATTTTAACTAAAATTTAATACTTAGAATTAGAATTTTTATCTTATTAGTCTTAGTTTTTATATTTTATATCTTTTAAAATTTATGAAATAAATTCTTTAAGAAGACAGAATTATTATAAAATAGATTTTAGTATATTTTTTAATTATTATATTTTTATATTATTATATATATTTAAATTTAGTTAATATTATTTTTTTTAATAACTTAGCTAAAACTATATTTAGATTTTATCATTAGATTCAGCTTAATTAGACTTTTCTAATAAGCTATAATTCATATCTATAAGATACTTAGTTTTTGAGTTAGCTTATAAACTATTATAATTAATTTACTGTTCTTACTGTTCTTATTATTATTATTTTTATTTTTATTATTATTATTATTATTATTATTATTATTATTATTATTATTATTATTATTATTATTATTAAGGTGGCTTTCTTTGCTAATTAGATTTTATTAATTTGTCATTATAGAGTTACTGTAGTAGTAATCTCCTAGGGTTTTACAGTTACATGATGAGTATACAACAAGCTACACATATAACTTTAGTTATTATCTAATTTAAGTAATCTGCTATATAAACAATTGATCATTTGTTAGTTTTATACTATGCTACTATATTTGCAACTCACCTGTGAGTTACCTATTTAAATACTCTAATTATTAACTCTTTTCTTCATTCTAAACTAATGTTACTACTATATCTGATCACTTAAGCTAGCTGACTTGCTTGTAGATCTATTTACTGCATGATTTAGATCTTTTTAGGATACATATTACCTAACATATTATGAGTATGTAGAGCTCTAGTTAATCTCAAAAATATATCTATTAGAGTGATCTGTACTTATTTTACAGATTCATCTTGTTTAGACTCTTGTGATATTTGTATGACCCTAGTTCCTACTGTAACTCTCTACTGGTATATATTGCTAAATTTCTCACAAAGTAGATCTTCTTAAATTCAGTTAGCTACTAAGCCAAGTTAGTACTGCTGATCTTTACTACAGAATAGACTTACTCACATCTATTTTGATCTATATCTTTTGAAAAAGTTTTCTTTTAAATTAAGTATTAACTAGTATAACTGTTAAAAGCTATATTACTTTACTAACTCAAGATTTCTACTAAGCAGGTTCCTTACTTATATATCTAATACAGATTTATTTATATAATATTATCATCATACTTCTAATATTTGATTAACTTAGTACAATGCTATTTTTTATAAAGTTTTATTATATCCTTCAGAATTCCCTTTTCAGAAACAGATAGAGTTTTCTATAAGTTTGATATACAGATTTAGATATTATTCAAATTTATCAATAGTGAGATTTGAACTTTAGATCTATTATATAGTAGTTTGACAACTTAACTACTATACTAGATCACTAGACCTTTTCTTACTATTCTTATTATTCTTACTATTCTTACTATTCTTATTATTTTTACTGTTTTAACTATTCTTACTATTTTTAATATTTTTACTATTCTTACTATTCTTATTATTTTTACTGTTCTTATTGTTCTTACTATTCTTACTGTTCTTACTATTCTTACTATTCTTATTGTTCTTACTATTCTTACTATTCTTACTATTCTTACTGTTTTTATTCTTAATTATAAAATACTATAAAAACTCTAACTTTTCTTCTTCCTAAAGTTAGTTTTGATAGTCTTTTAGTTAATACTTAATGAGTTCTGACTATAAGTTCTAACAAGTTTTATACAATTCTATTCTAAAAATACAGTATTTAATATAGTTTTAAGTTCCTTATTAGTTCTTTAAATTGATTTTTTTTAATATAAGTAAATAAAATACTTGGTATATAGTTCCCAAGTATTTTATTTAAAAGTAATTAAACCTCATATATGTGATATCTGAATAATATGTGATGTGATAATTTCGAATAATATGATAACTTTGAATTTGCTTACATAATCATCTTAGTTAAGATATAAGAAGCAGACGCACTATATCTTTTTTTACTAATTAAACTGCAATTAAACTGCAGTTCATCTAATCAGAATTCTCAATTTCGAGAAAAAACAATTAGTCTATCTGCTTCCTAATTGATCTATTAATAGATCTACTATATGATTTAATTAGAAAGCAGATGCACTATATCTCGAACTGTAGTTCACATAGTAAAAAATAATTAATGAATCTGCTTTCTAATTAAAATGTGATAATTTCAAATTTTCATTCGAATTTTCATTTGAGTTAAGTATACAACAATTTAAATATATAAAAAAAAATTCGTGATATGAAAATAACTGTATTTTTTGCTTCTGTGTTTTAATTTTATTATTCATAATTTGGATCTGATACCTCTTTTATTTCATTATCCTATATAGCATAATATATAATTACCAATTCACCTTGTTTTACTTCCTTGATATTTTTAAATTCGTTATAAAAAGTAGTAAGTATATGTTATTAAGAGATTACGATTTATTAAATATAAAAAAAAAACTACTTATTCTATCGCTATAGTAAAGAATAGAAATAAAAAATTTATATAGCAAGAAAATTAACTCAATACTATATTTTACTATTGCTATAATTTCAGAGTTACACATAAAATAAAAATAAAAAATATAATTGAGCATCAAACTTTAAAATTAGAATTAATATAAATGTACCCTTAGGGTATATTAAGATTTTATGTACTCTTTATTTTGGTAGGACGATTGCACAACGATCATATGCATCGGAGAATAAATCTTGCAGTAGACAATAAATTAAATACGATAAACAATAGCATGATATCATGATTTAAAAGCGTAAATATAGAGTAGAAGATGAAAATTAAAATCTCTTTCTTTTTAGTACATAATGAAGAAAACTATTAAGAAAAAGGATATCTAGCGTGTACACCGGTTTTAAATGCGTACCAAATCTTTTTATTCTATAGAAGGTTGTTTCTGTGCTTATAGCTTGAGTAAAACTATAGTGTCTTTAACCCCGTGATATTAATTTTTTTTAACCTACACCAGTTCTTTTAAAACAATTTCTTATTAGAGGTACTATTTTTTAGAATAGAAAGCGAAGATAACATAGAGATTCTTGAAGAACAGTTCTTAAACCTTGAAGTAGAGTAAGTGGTAGACTTTTTTTTGTTTTTTTTTGAGTAGCTTTTGACGCGAGCATTATATTCATTTCTTTAACTAATCGCAACTATAATCAGTAATTAAAATTTAGCTGAAATGGTAGATATTCCAGCAATAGAACAAATGTTGAACTTGGAAAGTGAAGATGATGCTAAAGTTTTTAAAGAGCAATTCTTAAATGTTATAGAGTAAGCGATAAACTTTTTTTTTTTTAAGTTACTCTTGATGCAAACAATACATTTATTTATTCAACTGCAAACAATCAGTAATCAAAATTTAGCTGAAATAGTAGATGCTCCAGCAATAGAACAAATGTTTGGCAGTTGGGACGAATTAGATCGTTTTATATCTTTCTATGCAAAATTACAGAATTTTGTCAGTGTGATACGTGGTTCAAAATACAAGGATAGGGTTTGTCGAAGCCGTTGATATGCTTGTGAGCATCAAGGTCATAGTACTACAAAAAATAAGACAAGTATTGCTGAGAATCAGTGACAAACCTAAAGTAAACGTACTGGATGCCATTGGCAGATTCGTGCAAGTTGTTCTAAAACAACTGGTGTATTAAGTATAAGTTCTCTTTGTTTGAACCATAATGACCATCCACTAAAAGATGAAACAAATAAGTTTGCTTCTAAATATCAAGCATTTTCTGATGATATGTTGAAAGATATTAAGTTTTGAACAGAGATTGGTAATCTGAACATGAGAACTCAATACCAAATACTAATGAAACAATATTCTGATACTTTTTTTTTGGCTCAAGACCTTTCTAATGCTATTCAAACTTTCAAAAGACAAACTCACGTTAAACATGAAGCTGCTATTTTGCTTAATCATCTTCTCAAATATAAATCTAATGACAATAGATAGGTTATTAATTAGAAAGTTAACCCTGCAAATAATTCCCTTACTTCTCTATTTTGGATGTCACCTGATCAGCATGATTTGTATTTACGATATCGGGATGTTATCCAACATGACAATATATATTCAACAAATCGGTTTAAAATGCCATTAAGTTTTTTTGTTATTGTGGATAATAACAACCAGTCTAGGTTGGTAGGACAGGCTCTTATTAATGATGAAACAGCGGAAAGCTATGAATAGGTTTTTCAAATTCTAATTATGAATACAAAAGCAGAACCTTTAACAATCATAACTGATAATGATCTCACTGTTAATGTTACAATTGCTAATGTTTTGCCCAATACATATCATGTTCATTGTATTTACCATATTGGGCAAAACCTAATAAAAAATTTGAAGGCAAAACTGGGTAAACAGTACAATGAATTTTCTAAGGATTGGTACCAAATGCGTAATTCACTATCATTTCAACAATTTAATCATTTATGGAACAAGCTTTTAATAAAATTTTCTGATTCTACTCCTTACCTTAATTGTGCTCTTTTTAGTGAAAAGGAACGATGAGCTCTCTGTTATACCTCTAAAATCTTTACTGCTAGAATGCAGTCAACACAGAGAGTAGAGGGTCAAAATTCTATTATAAAAAATTCTGTCAATAGTAACACATCTTTAATAAACCTTGTAAAATATATCGATAAGCAGATTGATCGCATATCTACTTTTATTCGTTACAAAAACTGGATCTATTCTATTACAGAATCTACACTTAATCATGCCAATTCTGAATTTTCACCTAATATCAACAAATGGATTGCTACTTACTTGACACCATCTTCACTATCCATTCAACGGCAAGAAATTACACAAGCCATATGGTATACGTCAAGACTTGTTGATTTTCAAGATTTCAGATTGCAATTTGATTTGATTGAACAATTTGGCTCAACTAAGCAATTTAATTTAATTGAACAATTCGACTTAACTAGACAATCTAATTTGACTAAATCTGATACAATTGATATTCATAATTTTTTTGTTGAAGATGTTGTTGATACACCTGCTATTTTAATTAAAGAACTAATCTCATCTGCAGAAATCATATCTATTTTTAAAATTTGGAAAGTTACTCGTCACAGACATAAGGCAAAAAATTACATAATATTGTTTAATAATAATTTATATTTATGTACATGTCTCAAGTTGGTCCAGTGCGGTTTTGTCTGTAGACACTTTTTTCAAGTTATGACAATGTCTAAATATGCTTCATTTTATAACATGCTCATATCAAAAAGATGGTATTCTGACGAAAAACAAATTGAATCAGAATCACAGACACGACAACATCCTTTTATTATTGGATTAGATGATAATGTAAACACAGAAACTTCAGCTCATATTGAGCAATTATTTCCTGATTTGTCTTTTTGTTTACCAAAAATATCATTTAATGATATCTATACTAAGATTAATTACCGTAAAACATATGCAATAATCAATAGATTATCAAAAAAGGCTATATAAACAGGAATAGATGCTGGTTCTAGTACAATAAAGGAGCTCAAAGATTTCATGAGTGAGTTTATTACCAAATATAGGCCAAAAAAAAAGGAAACTCAAATTTACAGAAAGAACATAAGGCAACAAGATGAGGATGAGACTACGTCAAGTTCTAATGAAGATTTTATTGCAGTTGAAAATCTGTTGATTCATTCAAGAAAAGGTGCTCCAAGAAAAAAGCGGTTTAAAGAATCTCATGAATTTAAAAGTAAATTTAGTGCTAAGCAAGATTCAGAAATTCAAAAGACAAGAAAACTAATTCAATGTCAGCAATGTCAAAATATGGGTCATAACAAAGCTGGTTGTGAAGCTTGGCATAAATGACAAAGCCTTTCATATTCATATGAATAAATTGTGCACCTGCTATTAATATTATTGTTATAGAAAGAATTTGAAATGCTGTAACTTCAAATATTGAATTGGTTATATAATTAGTTACTATATTTACATATTAATTAGTAATAGATTTATAAGAATTTAAATGTGAATTCATAACTAGAAAATAGAACGTACTTATCAAATTTATTCTTTATGTGTGATCCTTTTTGGATAGTTAGAGTTAGTGCTTTTTCTCAAATTATATACGTATAGATCATAACAATGAGTTGAGTAATAATAATTTGCTGCATTAAAATATGTATATCTGAATTAACTATTTCTACTTAGATGCATATACTAAGTATAATTTTCAAATAAAAATAAAGTATTTTACATTTGATTCAGAGGTTTATATTGTACAAGTTACTAATACATAAAACTTTTTTGTAGTTGCCTTCTATATGTATAACTAGTATGATGAATAAATCGTTATTAACATGTAACTATATAGTAAAGATTGTAATGCAAACATATTTGTATATATATATTACGTATGACTATATGAATTATGTATATATTCTAGTAGATTCAGTATGGAAATACAAAAATTAAATGTTGATAGTACGTATAGTTAACAAACCTATAAAATTCAGCTTAATAAATATCTTCTTTAATGGTTAGGATTAGGGAAAACACTAATAATGTATTTTTTTAGTGTTAGTGTTATAGCAAAAATAGATCATTTAGAGAGATTTTTCTTTACAAACATATCCGTGCTAATTTATGTTTTTGTATTATAGTACTTTATGATGTACTCAAATATGTTGTTCGAATAAATGCAGGCATTTATATGTATAACAAACAATTTTACTAAATATTTATAAAGGGAATGCCTAAGTGTGATAAACATGTTGTTATTAACAATAAGGTTTAGGTAAATCATACATACATATATATACATAGAATATATATATATTGTAGTATTATATAGTTTATTAAAGTATTATATTCATGTATCACGTGACTAGATACATGTACCTTCAGGTACATATATATAAGCCCTTAAAATTAACTATAAAAAATTAATTTTTTTTTTTTGTTTTAATGCACGAAGAAAAAAAAATATTCATATTTTATTGTTTTTTATTTTTTTTTTAAATGTACTTTCTTTTTTTTTTAATAAATATTTTTAAATTAAAACTTATGTTATTTATTTTGTATTTATTTTTCGTAATGAACTTGTACTATGAAATCACTATACTAATTATTATTTTTTTAGATCTTTTCTTTCAAAAATCTATTTCCGGAAGGACTTTAATGAAACTAAATCTACTCTAGGGTTCTAAATAACTTTGTTGCTGAGGTATGTGGCTCTTAGGATCTCAATTTTTGTTTTATTCAGTTGGATATTGACTGAGCTAACCCAATTCTTGTCTTTTCTTTCTTTAGACATTTTTTTCTTCTTTACATCGTGAGAAGTCGATTCCAGAAGGTGTTTGATAAGTCTAAACAGGGTTTTGGGTTCTAAGTAACTTTGTTTCTGAGGTATGTATCTATTAGGATCTCAATTTTTGTTTTATTCGGTTAGATATTGACTAAGCTAATCTGATTCTTGTTTTTTCTTTCTTTAGATATTTTTTTCTTCTTTGTATCGTGAGAAGTCAATTCCAGAAGGTGTTTGGTAAGTCTAAACAGGGTTTTGGATTCTAAGTAACTTTGTTGCTGAGATATGTATCTATTAGAATCTCAATTTTTGTTTTATTCGGTTGGATATTGACTAAGCTAACCCGATTCTTGTTTTTTCTTTCTTTAGACATTTTTTTCTTTTTTGCATCATGAGAAGTCGATTCTGGAAGATGTTTGGTAAGTCTAAACAGGGTTTTGGGTTCTAAGTAACTTTGTTGCTGAGGTATGTGGCTCTGTGAATCTCAAATTTGGTATTATTCAGTACATGTATACATTCGTATTGATCAGTCTTAATATCTTATTCTAAGCCTCTGTTAGATATGAATTGTTGTTAATTTATGTTATATCGAATACCACAACGTATTTGTAAATAATAAAAAAGTCTAATCAGCTAAATTAAAATTTTGAATTATTTTTAGTTAGTAAACCTTGAGATTCTCGATGATGACTAATATTTTAAATTTTTTTTGCATTTAAAAAAATGTGGTATGTTATATCATTACTAGCTTTTAATACTTATAATAAAATTATTTAATTTGATAAAAATTATAAGGTACTTTGCTTTCTTTTGGATTTCATTCAAATTTTGTTTAAATTCGAAATTTATTGAGAATTTTATTGAAACAGAAAAAAATTGCAAATTTTATTATAATGATTCAGATTTATAAATATAAATGTTTTTTTTAAGACTAGATAATATTATATTTATTTATGTACGTATGTAAAAAAGTGAAATTAACTATGTTACATAGCTATCTTATATATCGATATACATAGTATAAATTAATGATTATTTAATATAGATTAACTTAATGTATCTTAAATAGTATCAGTATCGATATGATTTACAAATTTAATTAAAAAAATCTAGAACATTCTATAATAAAAAAATCTATATAAATACTGAATTCGCCCACAAAATCGATCATCAAATTTTTGATGCCCGAAAGTATTACTTTTGGAGTCAGCTATCATAAAAGTATGTCTTCGACTAGCTTTCATAAAAAATATTACAAGGTGGTCTGGCGATCTTAGTGTAGTGGTTAGGTTGCCAGACCGCCATGCAAGAGGTCTGGGGTTCAAATCCCACTGTCG